CTGCTGAAGAGGGGAGCGATAGAACAGCTTGGTGGCACCTGGTGTCCAGCCAAGGTCAATCCACCACAACCAGCAGAGTACATTTTTAGTCCAGGAGTTTACCTCTGTAAAATGCCAGTCCAGTAGGTAATCTCCAAAGAGTAAGGATGCAAAACAGAAAGCAAAGCAATTGCCAAGAATCCCAATGAGCACTTTTTTTTGTCTGGTCTCAGATCCACCTTCTGTGTCAATACACATGGCAATCTTCAGGATGACTGCTTTCAGTTAGCTGCCCCTCGAACTAAAATGCTTCTCCCTGGGAATAAGTCACAGGGCCATGGATTCCATAAGGAAACAGCCCTTAGCATATGTTTTGGCTGGCCAATAACAGAAGACTGTTTTTCCTTCTACTCAGTCCAAATAGAAGTCTTTCTAAAAGAGTTGGTCCCCTATCTGCTAGGTCAAGTCCAAAGCTGTGGTCCCAGTATCTACCCATAGGAGGGATCGGAGCATGTCCAAACCAAACGTTTTTGAAAACAAGAATTTAATTTATTCCTTATTGAGTCATTTCAGTATGAGCTTGGTTGCCCTCTACTTGTGCTATTATCCACAGAGAATGACTACCATCTCCAGCAGCAAGTGAGCCTATCTACTAGTTGGAGTTGACTCTCCTCCTCCATTGACAGTATGGAGAACCTGGAACAACAAGGAGCTTCTTAGGCACCACACTCAGGAAAGGTAACTATTGTGTGTCAGTGCCACTGAAATTTTAATTGGAAAGGCTTCTGAGGGCTAGGAGAGATAATTTGGTCCAAATAAAAGAGAGAAGAGGAGAAGAGAGCTGTTACAAGACACTCAGATGGCAAATAGAATAATTTTCTTCCCCATGTACATTGAGGACTTGAATCTTAGCACCCTGTCATCCAAGGACTTGCTCTGTGCTTTGGGGCCATGACCAATCTCAGATGGAGTATATCACGTGTGTGGTTTTATTTTTCCCAAAGAAATGCAAAAAGGCCTCAATACAGTCCTACAGCAGATTAGCCAGTTTTTGAAATCTCAGAGAGCTACCTGTGGGATGGGAGAGCCATTGTCCACCCCGCTGTCAGCATTACTTACTTACATGGTAAAGTTGGAGATGAAGGCTGCAGCTGGGATCTGCATCTCAAACACAGCTTCGCGTGCCTCAGATCCGCTGTTCACCATCGTGCACGACACCGTGGTGAAAGCATACCGAGAAATGATTGTGGATTTCACACTGAATTCAGACATCCGAGGCCTAGTTTCCTGTGGGTATCAAAAGATAACCTGTTAAGACTGACAGCTAGATAACTCACCCATTCAGTGCTTCCATGGCTTTAATACTTAATATGCTCAAGCAAATTACCACCCTAGGAATATTAGTCTCCCCTATGAAAGAGGCAGCAGCAGGCAAGGTGGGATTGCCCTCAAAATTTCAGGTGATCTGCAAAATGTAAACCAGGGACATGGCACTGCCTTTGATCATGCACAGAGCAAAGGCCACAGTCATTCTCCAGGGCTTGGTCAGGGAAGGATGAGAGCTCTGATTATGCCAGCCTGATATCACTGTGTATGAAGCAGCATCTTCAAATTCACACAGTCAGATCCGTAAGTTACGTAAACAGAAAAACTGCTGTCAGTGATTGAGTCCTCCTCTGCTGAGAATCTTAATGGCTGAGTCCTCCTCTGCTGAGAATCCATCCTGGAGGTCTCAGCCAATGGATGGAAGAGACTTAATTAGAAACACTGACACTGTGATGTCTCAGGCAAAATATTTTAAGCCTTTTAGCCCACACTGGATTCCTTCCAGCAGAGAAGCAGCAGAGACTGCAATGAATGACACATGATGTAGCAATGGAAGCTGAAAGCCAATTTCTGCTTCTTGGGAATGTGTTTTCGTGCGCAAGTCCTGGGTTGGAGCATTTCTCCAGTCTAACGTGATTTTTTGACAGAAACATCTCCATGGAGCTCAACAGTTTTCTTCCTGGAAGACTTCAGTGTATTTAATCATAAGCAGACCATGTAAAAAAAAGTTCTGTATGTTAAACAGTCAAAGACCAAACCCTGAAAAGCAGAAGGAAGCTAAAGAGTAAAATACATTGCAAATATGGAACAACTTCACTAAGCCAAATAAACTGAGACTCTTCCTGATGAGGTTGATAAAAAGTCACAGCTACATCAGACTCATGAAGACAAGAACATGCTCTTCAGCCGCACTTCCAGGCTTTTTTTCTGAACAAAAATAATTTTGACAAATGGCTTAACAAAGGGAGCGAGTGATTGTATGAGCAAGTATGAAACAGGAACATTTCTGCAGTAGCTGATGGCATCAGAAGCAATAATAAGTGAGCATTCAACTAACCAGGCTGCTGGGCTAATGAATTCCAGGCAAATGGAGGAATGAGGATCCACTGGAAACAAACATAAAACTGTCGATAGACTTGGAAATAAAGCCCCACCTGCCTACACTTTCAAGGCTTGGAAAGACTCTGAAAAATGTGTCTCAAATGAACCTAATGTGATAGATCTCTTTAACAGCTGGGGAATGTGTGATGTGCTCTGTGTCCATGATCATCCTTAGCACAGGCTTAGCACAGGCTCAGCTCACATGGAGCTCAATGACAAGAAATTAGCACTTCTAGGGTGTGATTTGTTGCACTGATTTCAGACAGCTCAGTGCGATGGACCTAGACTAGGACACATTGCTCAGATCTGATGTCCCCTCCTTAGGCCACTAGTGGCTTTTACTCAGTCGCTGTTTATTAGAACTAGATCCTGCTGTTCTTAGGACCTTTCCTGATACATAGGCGTGGCTTTCTGGTCTAATTATCCTGAACAGGGATAGGATGGGGAGTTTTGATCGGAAGTAGTGTTATAGGAATGTTTCCAGATATAATGAGCTGATGTTTCATTCAGTCTTCCATACCACAAATTGCCTGTGGCATAGCAAGAGATATAGAGGATTTAATAACAGGAGTAAAAGGAGTCTGAAACTACAGCAAATTCTTAGGTTCCAAATGTCCTGCATCCACTCCCATGTTCTGAATTTCATCATAAGCTGTGGGTTCAAACACGGTGGACAGCTCAACAGCAAGGGAGAATCAAGCCCTTTGCCTTTTACTTGAGGTACAAGGTGGTTCTGCAGTGACAGATTTGACACCGAGTCTTAACACTGTGAATGCAGTGATGGATTTATCTGAAGTCAGAAGGTCTTTAGAATGTGACAGAGGACATGAACTTGCCCTTATTATGACAAGAACATAAGAATGGTTGTACTGGGTGAGAACAAAGGCAATTCTAACCCCCTAGCCCATCACTGGCAGAGATTAATAGTGCATGCTTAGAGAAGAGTATAAAATCAGTCCAGCCTGCAGGGATACTACTCAGAAATATTCTCTCAGCTTCCAGTAATTTGTGGCTGAAGGAACTCCTGAACCAAGGGTGGTATTTCTGTTTTTAGTAAACCTCTGTGGATTTTTCTTCTGTGTATTCACACAGCTGCTTTTTGAATCCATATAAACTTTTAGCATCCTCAACATCTTGCAGCAAGGAGTTCCACAGCTTAATGATATTTTATATGAAGAATCACATCGCTTCGTTTTGTTTTCTGAATCTACTATTTGCCAGCTTCAACTGCTCTCTGTCATATCTCTCTATCCCATCAAACAAGCTCTAGCTCTGATACCCTCACAGACTGAGGAACAGCAAAACCAAAGGAAAAATAGACATTCAACACCTCTCCATCTTCCTGGTGGATAGGAGTTGCTGTTGGAGAAAGCAAACACTGAGTAAGGGCATCACATACAGCTGAGGATGAAAGAACTTGATTCATCTTCCATCCCTGGAAGGGATCTGCCTTTCCTTGTATATGCAAAATATAAACGGTGGGAGCAGAGGCAGTTTCCAAACAGGTTGCTAGGTCGGGCTTGGCGGGCAGCCCAAGTTCCAGTCTGTGATTCTTGTGCGTTCCCTGGAGCTCTTGCACAATCCATCAGCTCCTGATGCTCTGACTTACAGCTGCGCAAATGCCTGTTTGTTTTCTCCTCTTTTTATTAAGGCCTTCAGAAGATGAGAGGCAGCACAAAGGAAAAAACAAAACAAACCATTTGTTTAATATTATTATTACTGTGATTTATTATCCCTATTAAAAATAAAGCTAGGGAACACCAAGGCAGCAGATTAGCACGTTGCTGTGAGGCAGGTTGGCTGGATGCTTTATGAAGGTGTCTTGGAGATTATGATGAACTAGGAGCTGAAATTTTCTTGCCAAACAAATGATTTTATGCTTGTTTACATTAAATGTTTGGAAAGACAGAAGAGAGCTGGAGATCAAGGAAATACACTCCATGCTTTCACCTTTATCAGTTGCTTTCATCAAAACAAGTTGACCATATCACAGATTAGAAGTAATAAACTGGTAGTAAGACTGAGGGTTGCTCTCCTCTAGGCTGCTGATTCAAATCTGTCAAAGATCAAAGGGATCAGAAGCTATTAACATGTGATGGCTGCTCAGTGTGTGAAATTATTTCCTCCAGTTCTCAACTTGGAAGCCCCCATACCTCAGAAAAGCCAGAAAAAATAACTGGCCTTGAACAGCAATTTCACTGGCTGCCTCTTTAGCTAAAGTTTTGATCCAGGCTGTGCAACTCTCAGCGCAGACATACAGCCAGCTCTCACAGATTTGCTGTGCATCTCACAACTGCAGGTAAACATCTTAAAGCTTAGGTTCCCATGCTGAAAGAAGGATATTGGCTTCCTTGTTTTCTTCCTTTCTTCAGTAAATTTTGGCATCTTCATCAAGAGAGAACAACAGAGATCTTCAAATTTCAAAGCAAACTCTCCCTTTCTCTGCAAATTCAATGAGATTTCATCAGGCTTATGTTCACTGCATCAGTGAGGTTTGTTGCATTGGATGTTTTCTCTCTCCAAATCTGGGGTTGAGAAGATGTATTGGGAAGTATTAGAAGAACCTGTACCTGTTGCATTGATCAAAATGAAGATTTTTTTTTTTGCCTAGAATCTCACCCTACCATCACCCACTTGACATAGTTCATTCCTGGGCACAGGGATGCACACACACACCTATATACATAGAGCAAGTGTAATTCCCATGAGATAAGATAAAGACACAGAGTGATACGTACCAGCCTCTGCAAAAATTTGGCCTGTCTTGGAACACGGCGTGCAACCTGCAAAGAGTTAAGGAAGTTAATAGAGCCTTGTCAACTACAGAAGACATGTCACTTGTTTAAATTCAGGCACGGGTTGTGTGACTGATCACCCATGGCCAAGTTCAAATGTTCCTCTGGTTAAAATTAAAACCCAATTCTCTTCTATATTAACAGACCCATTGATCAAAGCTCAGCAGTGGAATGCGGCTCTTGTAGATGAGGTACTGTGTGTTTTGCAAATGCTACTTGCCAAGAGACCCGCTGTATGAAGACAGGAACCTCAGCCTTTAACGCTAGCCCTGGATGCTACGTCTTGGCCCTGGAAGCGTATTCCCTTATAGCTTCCTATGGAGTCCCACCAAGGCTGTGTGTCACTGGTTTTGCCCCGTTGCATGCTATATGGCACATGATGAGAAGGGCTACTAAATGGTCCACAACACCCATCAGATGTCATGCAGGACCCATCTACATCCTCAGGCGAGTAAAAGCCAACTCCCATTCCCCACTCCAGAAGTTGTCTACATCCATGCAAGAGCATTCAGTACTCATCATGGGTTACAGACACTGGGCAGGGAGAGGGCTGAGGGCACGACAAGCCCAGTCACCTGATGCCGTCCTCAGCTCAGCACAGTGCGGCTGCTTTGAGCTTCAGCAGTGACCAGGTTAATACCAGGGACCAGCTGTGACAGGACAAGGGGTAATGGCTTTAAACTAAAACAGGGTAGGTTTAGACTGGGTCTAAGGAAGAAATTATTTACAATGAGGGTGGTGAAACACTGGAACGGGTTGCTCAGAGAGGTGGTGGAGGCCCCATCCCTGGAAACATTCAAGACCAGGTTGGATGGGGCTCTGAGCAACCTGATCTAGTTAGCAGTGTCCCTGCTCCCTGCAGGGGGGTTGGACTGGGTGATCAACCCCAAACATTCTATGATTCTATGATTCTATGAATACCTAGCTCCCATGTGGTGGAGCTTATCCAGCATAACCCTGTTCTGCTGCATGTGTGGACTTGCACCAAGGGAGGACTTGTGTAAATTAATGTTACAGCTTCAGCTTTGTTGGTATTACCTCAACAGCAGATCTGTTGCCTAAAAACTCTCCGCAGGTACTGTGGATTATTGCCCAGTGACAGAAAGCACTGGTTATGTGCAAAAAGGAAATAAAGATATTTAAACTCAGCCAAAGATTTTATTATGAAACAAAGTGCATCACCTATGATAATGCAATCATACTCACTGTATTGCCCTTCACAACAACTCCTCTGACTTCTTCCCTGCACATGTTGTAAGTCTCAGCTTAGCAACATCTCCAAATCAAATCCCTCCCAAACCAGATTACAAGTCTCTTGTCAAAGAGGGAAGCCAAGTGACTTGTTAAAATGTTGGTGAAATTCCAAAGAGCAGAGGAATGTAATGACATTTTTTTACCTGATTTGCCCTTTCTGTTGATTTACACAGCACTCCTTGCCAAAGAGATGATTTTATGTCTGTTTACATCATGCATTGCAAAGCTAAGGAAAGCCCAATGGAGAAATTAAAGTCTCCTCTGCTAGAAGCCTTAATATTTCCTTCTTCATTATTTTAGCCAACATCTTGTAAAATTAGAACCAAGGAAAAACAGCTCCCTGGGGAAATTCTCAATGGAGAGGAGAGGAGAGGAGAGGAGAGGAGAGGAGAGGAGAGGAGAGGAGGAGGATACCTACTGAGCTATTCTGTTAGTCCAGGCAAACTCTCATCTCCTCTACTTGTTAGTGCTCTTCTGGCATGATGGTCTCAGAGATCTTTATGCCAAGAGGAATTCTCTGCAGTTTAAATTTTCGATGACACTTTCTGTCTGGGTATATTATCTCAGGCAAGTAAAGCACCTCAGGAGCCTGCTGTGAGAGTCTGCAGAGTCTCCATCACCACAGGTTCTTCAGAACAAGCCAGACAAATGCCTGTGAAGCTGATCCTGCTTGGAGCAGAGGCAGGAATGAGAGATCAGTGATCCTCAGTACTTTTTTTACTACAGGATTACCTTTTGGAACAAATCCACCTGTCACCCTGTATGGAATGGTCACAATGTTTTTTACTGACCAATGGATGAAACTGGAAATTTGGTTCCTGGTTTTATCTTCCCTCACCACACACCCATTTTATTTACTTGCTGATTTCCATAAGAAGGTGTTGTATGGCTTGGTCCTTCAAAAGCTACCTTCTGAAGTCTTGAGGATAGCCAGTAGACATCGTTGAGTAACTAAGCATCACCAGATAACAGTATTCTCTTTGCTAGGACTTCATGACTACTGCCAAAGCACTGCTGCACGGTTTATGATACTGATCAGTCCATCGAAGTGTTTTGAACCAGCCAGCTTCACTAGCATCATCTAAAGGAATAATTTCTAAGTTCCCATCCACCTTCATCTTTAAGGTCTTCCAAAGCACTCATTAAAGCCCAATACTTGCTAGTAGTAGCCCCATAGCTGTTGCCATCTGCTAGTCTTAACATGGCATACAGAGAATAAGCTGGGCAGTACTAAGCCTGTGAAGAGCTGTCCAGAAGAACTACCTCTAGTGCAATGGCAATAACTAGCAACCTTGTCAACAACCTTAGCAGAGTGGTCAATCATTGGATGAGCCAACAAGTAATTGCAATTGCAGTGATCGTTCATTAAAAATACAACGATCCTGCAAAGACTTGTATCCGTATTTGCCTTTGTGTAGGAAGATCCTTCCAGTAAAACACAGCCTTATATGCTCTCCAGAATTAGAGATTTGCTTATAAGGGATGTAGTATGTTGTTCTAGGTAAGCACGTGCCTCTTCTTACCCTAGCTCATGTGTTCAGTGAGGATGGATAGATGGCCTCCTCTAGATCTGGCTATCCCAGGGGACTGTATCACCACCTCTCTTTATACATCACTGCTTTTCTGTTGGAAGTTACTGCTGCCACTCCTCTGCCAGCAACACAGCTCCTGTGAAAACACCCTTATTGGCTTCAAGCAAGATCAGCCAGTTTATTTCAACACTGTGAGCCAGTTGCTTGATTTTCACAACTGACTTTGCCCCTAAAGCAGGTGAGTGAGTGTTCCCAGATACCACTCCACTGGCAGAACAGTGGTGGAGATACTCTCTTCCACTTGGACAGGTGGGTCTCAAGACAATGTTAATTTGTGGCTGAATTCCCCAAGAAGGAATATGTGTTCACAGTAGCTGGTGTGGACCTGAAGAATGTGAGCACAGATCTGAAGCTCAGCCTTTTAAATCACAGCTTCCCAAACCACCACCCGAACTCTCTTGCTAACTTGCAAAAAGTTCATCGCCCTTTCAGTTACATTTCCCTGGAAAATGTCAGCCACACAATGACAAAATGTAGCAGCCCTCACTTGCAGAATATTTTTTTTTTTCTCTCTTCTGGTCTAGGAGCATTTTACAAGCTGAAACTCATGTGGTTCATTTCATACAGCATGAGTTAAAAATCAAGTACAGTAAGACTGAGACCATAGGCAGAAAATCTTTCCTCCAAGCCTGAAATACTCTGAATTACTCAGGCTGGCGTGTGGCCAAGACACCGCGTTAACTCCCTCGTTAGCACAGCTCTCAGGATATCGGCTTTGAACCCAAACCCCAGGCAGCAGCACCCAGAACGGGAGGTCTCTCCTGGCTTAGCACCTCCAACAACTGCCTTGCTCGCTGGTAGCAGCCTCCCGTGGAGCCGAGCTGCTGCCGCAGCCATGGGCACGCTGCAGGGATGGCTGCAATAAATGTTTTAGCAGGCTGCCCTGCGCGTCCATACTGATGGTTAAGACGGGACAAGCCAGCCCCAGCCACCAGATGCTCCCGAACAACAACCGCCTTAAAACTTACTTGCTCCATGATGCTGTAGTCTGCCATCAGCTCCTCTTCCAGGTACCTCGCCATCAGCTCCGAGTCGGGCTGCCCAGCCGAGGTGGAGAAACCCCAGCAGAGCCACAGCCAAAGGATCATGGTGGAGGGCGAGCACCGGCCGGGGCTCCCTGCCCTGCAGGTGAGATGAAAGCCCCACTGTTTGCAGCTGCTGCCTGCGCTGCTGGACAGAC